CTCCTGCTGTTCCCTCTCCCCCACAGCCTCAGCTCGCTTGCTCTGCGTCCGGCGCAATGCTCTGGGTGGTGGGGCTGTGAGCTCCTGAGGCAGCGCAGCTGCAGAGCCCGGCCTGACCTGGTCTCTGTGCTGCGTGGTGGTGGCAGTGGTGTGGCCCGACTCCAGCCAGGTGGACTCCAAGCAGCACAGTAAGGGGGCATGGAGCAGGGGGGGTTGGATAGAGGGCAGGGGAGTTTGGGGTTGTGGTCAGGGGGTGTGGGTGTGGATAGGGGTCGGGGCAGTCAGGGGGAACAGGGGGTTGAATGGGGGCAGGGCCCTGGGGGGGGGGCAGTCAGGAAGGAGGGTGGGTTGGATGGGGCAGAAGGGGGCAGGCGGGGGCAGTCAGGGGCAGGGGTTCCGGGGGCAGTCAGGAAGGAGGGGGGGTTGCATGGGGCGGCAGGGGGTAGTCAGGGGCAGGGGTTCTGGGGGCAGTCAGGGGACAGGGAGAAGGGGTGCTTGGATGGTGCAGGGGTCCCAGGGGGGCCATCAGGAATGAGAGGAGGGGTTGGATGGGGCTGCAGGAGTCTGGGGGCAGTCAGGGGACAGGGAGTGGGGGGAGTGGATGGGGTAGGGGTCCTGGAGGGGGGCTGTCAGGGAACAGGGGGTGTTGGATGGGGCAGGAGTCCTGGGGGGCGGGGGGCAGATAGGAGGTGGGGACTGGGCCACGACCCCCTCCCCTAACTGGCCTTCTATACAATTTATGAAAACCCAATGCATCCCTCAGGCCAAAAAGTTTGCCTGCCCCTGCTCTATTCCCAACCAGGGGTTGCTTATCCAGTCTAATTCCCTTCAGTTGTGGCCTATAAAGTTCAGTGGTCCCCTTCTCAACCTCATTAGCTCTTTCCAGGCTGATACGCGGTGAGCACCCTCTCTTGCTGTCTGGAGTGGCTCACAACTGTAAGTGCCTACCACAGGACAGACTCAAAAACAGGGCAATTACCCCAAACTGGTGGTGTGTCCTGTAATTAGATTTCACCAGGCCAGCGACAAACATGAACTCCTGGATCACTATAACACTCTTACCATGAAGTCACAGACAGTCCCCTTTGACTCTCCACTCTATCTTGCCACCCAGACAAACTGGACTCAGTGATACATGGTCACTGACACCAAGAAAATCCCACCACATTCTGGTTCCTTCCAGTCCCAAGAGACCAGTCACTTACTCCAGGTCAATTGGTATCTTAGATCTAATCTCACAGACAATGTGTTTAGCCAATCCTGTAATGATCTATATCAGTGGTTCCCAAACTAGTTCCGCCGCTTGTGCAGGGAAAGCCCTGG